CGTAACTGGTTCAACAATACCCGAGCCAGGAAGAAAGTCGGAGGTATGCCTGAGTCAACATCATCCCTTCCATCCCCGTACTCATACGTTACAGACACTTCATCCGCCATTCAAGAATTGCCTGACGACAGTGTCCATTCATTGAAGTCGAAGCTTTCCAAAGACAGTTTAGAGGCTTTAGACAAACATGCAAACGAAGTGGTCGCCCCACCACAGCCACCTTTGGCTGTGTACCTTGCTCAATCATACCAGGAGGAAGCAGTCGAGTTTTCCGCGGTGCAAGCAGCCATCGACAGCGGGTCTCTTTCTGGAAGCGGAGATTTTGAAGAAGATGGTTGGTCAGCAGCAAGGGAGGGAAGAAGAGGTTCGATCATGACATCAATCGCATCTTCTGAAGGCACTGCCCCTACCACATACACAGTTTCATCAAGCGGTAGCCGCAGCAACATATCTTCGTTCGGTCGAGACCGAAGACGTGGCCGAAGACGTATGGCATGGAAAGAATCGCCATATACACGCCAGAAGGTCAATGGTGTCAACAGTGCCGGTGAGCCACAACAAGATTTGCCGTTCTTCTGCACGTTCTGTCCTCGAGCTTTCAAAACCAAATACGAATGGATTCGACACGAAGACTCTGTTCACGCCCTTCGGACGACTTGGATATGCTGTGATACGAAGACGACCCCTCTGGATTCTTGTCCTTTCTGTGGTCAGGCTCATCCCGACGATGCTCACATGGCTGGTCACAAGTATCAACAATGCAGAAGCAAGCCTGAATCGCAACGCACATTCTACCGCCGCGACCATTTCGTTCAACACCTCCACCACGTTCACTTCGCAAATGCTAAACATCCGTCGGTACGCGTTGGCTGCCAAGCTCGACTGATGGCTGCGGAAGGAAACAACTTCGGTTGCAAAGACCTTGCTATGAAATGGCGTCGCTTCGGTGCTCCAATGAAGCGTGACGATCCTATGCTTCACTGCGGTTTCTGTGGGAAGAAGTCGAAAGACTGGTCGGAACGTTGTGAACACGTTGCTGAGCATCTCATCGCACGCGAGCTCGATCGTTCTGTATGGTGGGGAGAGCGCAAGGAGAACCACCTGGAGAACCTGTACTCAGCATCGCCTTACGAATCCTTCCGCTGTCGCTATTGCCTCAAGGTTTTTACTGACGTCCAGGCCATGAACGAGCATTCTCACTGCCGTGTTTGGAGTTGTCGCTTTCTACGAAACTTCGATGATGTCGCTGCCGACAATGCTGGGCCACCTCTGGTTCCGGATTTTCCCTCTGCGAAAGCACACCATTGCCATCTTTGTGGTGCCGGATACCGCACCTTTCATGTTGAACATGCACAGAACTATCACAGATTTCGATCCTGTCAGCAGGAGTTCTATACTTCCGAGGAAGCCTTTCTTCAGCATTTGCACATCTTCCATGGTGCTTCACAGCCGGCCTTATTGCAAGGAAGCTCCGTCATCGAGCAGAGTTTCATGCGCAACAAGGGAGCATCCTTCGAGCCCGTTGAGTTTAACGAAAGCTGGCAACCCTGCCTTATGGAGCTTGATGTCAACCCTGTCGGTCCGTTTATGGTCGAAAAGCCTGCCGCGCCGTTACCGGTCGTTGATAAGAAGGATTTGAATCATACGAAGAAGCAGTCTCCAGCCAAAAAGAAGATTCGCGAGGAGCCTCCGAAGCCCTCTCCTGCGGTGACGAAAACTCAACGGCAACGCTCAGATACAACCACCTCCAAAGCAGAAACACATGGGCCACGCTTCTTCCGTCTGAGTACCTATGTTCCATTCCTCTCATCGCGGATCTTCTACTCGCACAATTCCAAGTCCTCGGGCCTACCACGAGACAACCAAGCCGTGCTTGAGGAAATGCCCAAACCTCATATTGCCTCTTTGGTTATGAGCGCAGGCCTTGTCAGTATGGCTACTGTTCGATACGCTATTAAGCCTGAGCAGCATCCTGCGAGTGGTATGGTTGAGCTTACCATTGAGGATGATGCTGATTAAAGTAACGCGAATCTCGATCCATTCATATAATCTGTGCATGAGGACAGATATTTTCCTCCAGATGACCATACACGTCGTCTTAAAAGTCGTCAGCTTTCGATAATAATTGTTAAAACTCGAGGGAACATCACGCTGCGTTAATGTCTTCATGAGATAAATGAAATTACGCGTATGAGCTTATCGCTCGTAAGAATGGAAGATTCCATCGGATTTGCCTGACCTCACTAAAGGCATCGTACAGTTTTTGCTTGTGTTTTTACTATGGCGTTTACTGTACACTTAGCATACCCTACCAGCATTTTCATATATCGTACCTCCCTCACTACATGGCTGGACCACGGGATTTCTGGATTTCGGATAATGACAGGCGTTCAAGCGTGTTTCCTTGAGTCAAAACAATTTTACATGACTGCAAAATTATCAGTACATGATTGGCGTTTGGAAACAATATCATTCGTAGCACGAGGAGTCTTTGATAGTATGGTAAAAAGGATAATACGGTCCCTTGACGGCTCTGGAGCGTTCAGCGCTCTACAAACTACCAAATAATATTCCTGTCTAACGACGCTTTTGTACCTGAAGTCATGTACTTGACCTTGTAAGTGATGTTTTCAGATGTGCTACGAAGAGTAACGTACTATCAACTAACAGGAATGAGGCTGTACTTACACCTTTTCTTTCTGTCCGCATATCTCCCAGCTCTGTTATCTACTTAGGTACCTATACACAAACCACTTCCTATCAACCCAACCCCCTAATCCTCCCATACATCATTCAACAACCACTTCTGCCCCTCCCACTGCTCCCTCACCACCGGCCAAATCTGCTCCGGCGGCAGCACAAACCCGCCACCCTCCACATCTCCAGGACTCAATTCCAGCGTCCACGAGTGCTCCGCCCCATGCACGCCGTAATGATGGTCCCGCGAATTCCCCGTCGAAAAATACAATATCTGACACCCAGGCCCAAACTCATACGTGCTGTTCCGACTACTCGCCGCCTCGATCGCGCGCGCCGTGCCCCCCGCAACCTCGAGCATGCGCGGCAGGCTCTCGGGCAGCGGATCGCACGTGTACCCGTAGGGCGTGAGGACGAGCTGGCCGTAGGAATGGAAGTCGATGAACGAGCGGATCCTAGGCGCCAGCTTCGCAGACAGGCTGTCCAAGGCGGCGTTCTCGGGCGTGTCGCCGGGCGCCAGGCCGCGGAACGTCTGGCCGCAGGGATCCGGCGTGGAGCCGCCTTCGGGGGGCTCGGCGGCCCATTGGAATTTCCAGTTGCGGTTGCCGTCGGTGCCGATGCAGGTGCTGTTGCTGGTGGGGCGGGGCTGGCGGTTTTTGCGCCAGAGGCGGTCTGTGGTTTGCGTGTAGACGAAACCTGGGGGAGTGTTAGTTTGTTTGCCTTGGTGTTGTGGTTTTGGTTGGGGGCTTAGAAGTACCGTCTGGGTTGTGGAATGGGACGAGGTAGAAGTCGTAGTAGTCTAGGAAAGAGGTCACGTTTGCGTCGCCGGTTTTGTAGCCGTCGATGAGTTGGTATGCTAGGTACTCGATCACTGCCACTCTATATGAGCTCAATCCATTCCACAATTCAGTTGAGAAGCGTACCCATAGTAGAAATCCACTGACATTCATTAGCCATCATCTCCACTGCAAAATCTCAAACCACATCACTCACCTCTCTAGCATGCACAGTCGCATGCCACAAAATGACAGGTTTCTCCACCTCACCCCCCTCCCCCTTACCAAACAAATGATACGCATAAATCGTTCGATTCTCAAAACTCTTTCCCAACTCAAACTTCTCCGAGTTCTCCGGAAACGCACTCACAAGGTCGTCCCAGTACTGCAAATGGTCCGCATACGCATGATACGTCTCGAACCAAGAAAGATCAGGTAGCTCGCCACGCCTATGCAGAGAGCGCTTGTACGTGGGCACTCTATCCGTGTCGCGGATCAAGTGTCCCAAGTCGGCGCTGACAAGGCGGGCGTTGAGACCCAGGGCCCGGAACGCTTCGACCTCTGCGGGGGGGATGACGACGGAGAGCGTGTCCCGGATAGGGTGAGTGTGGTGGGTTGAGAAGCGCTTGGCTATAGCGCGGGCGTCTTGCGCCGACGACGGCGTAATGCTGTAGACGTGGTGGCCATCGTAGCTTACTTCTGCAGTACGCGGGCCGAGATGTAGAAGCGATGCGGCGGCCAGCGAGGCGAAGTATGCAAGACTAGTGAATTTCATTTCGCAGGGTGGGCTCTTTTACGAAAGTAGTCTTTTCGCCGTAGAGACGACATCGTTGCGATAAGGTCGCCACGCGCTTTATACTCTCTCACCCACGCAACGATCTTATCGTCCGGGAGATGTGCAGTCCTGCATGATGATGCAAGTTTAGCTTTTGATTGCGTGTGTAGACTTTGTTAGAACCTTGAAGTTGAGGGTCGATATGCAGTGTTGTCACCTCGTTCATCTTGGCAGCGAGTCCATATTAGGAAGCTCGCGACATTTGTAGGGTACGGTTGCTTCTCGGCGGCTGCTTGGCTTACAATCGAACGACGTTTCAGATACTCGAAGTGGACTAGGCGTGAACTGTTACCTGGGATGTATATATTAGCCGTGGACCCTGTTTGTGGTTTATTGATGTGGGTGACGTGCAAGATAGTTTCAATTGGGAAGTTGTAGTAGTGTAGGCAATTGTTATTACCGTAGGCGGACATATACGGTGCACAGCTCTGGATGGCTTGGTACTTACTTGCTTGTACCAAGGGACATAGAAAAATTGTTGCCATGTATAGACGAGCGTGCAAAGGAAGATCAACACACAGAAGTTTGGGAGTTAATGAACAAGTTGTCAAACAATAGAAGTGAAAAGAAAGAGACAAGCCACTTCGAGCTCTGCTCGGAGGAAAAAAAATCGCTAGACGTTGACTACATACTACGAAGTAAAACTGTAGATGAGATTCAGAAACACAGCAAAAAAACGCAAAAAGAAAGCGTGACCTAACCAGGGGTCGAACCTGGAATCTCTTGATGTCAGATTGGTGAATCGTAGTCAAGCGCCTTGCCATTGGGCCATTAGGCCTTTCTCGTAATCGATGAGTTTCTGTGTCAATATTAGAAATATATACAGCATACCTTGAGATGTCAAAATTTGCACATCGATCGTGGTGTGTGTAACGAAGCGGGGTATGACGCAACATTTCTCCGCCCCACTACGCCCTTTTCTCTCCGCCAGGCGCCACAACGCCCATCGCAGGCAACCAACAAAGTCACTCATGGCATCTTCACCGGTACATTTTCAGCGCATGCCTAGTCTGCACCGCCGTGAGGTTGGAATTATCACCTGAAACACTCCCTGCTGTTACCTATATAGAAGGCTAGAATTTTTCCCGTTCATTCTCATGTGCAATCCATTCAAAAGTCCATCTGCAGCATTGAACAAACACCCTCAAGAGACCATGTCCAGCAGCAAAGAGCCACGCCTGTTTGCCCCCGTAATCGCGCAGTACCCCGGCGAGAACTTCGTGATAGGAGGCGGCGTAGCCATTTTCCACCTTGCCACTGGCCGAGTCGTGATTTGCAGCGCCGAGGACCGACGCGGCACGACGTACTACTTCCTACCCAAGGGCCGGCGGGACGCTGGGGAGGAAAGCGGAGCGGGTGCGGAAAGAGAGGGGTATGAAGAGGTACGCAATTGGAACAAACTCATGTTCTTTTTGGACGAATAAGTCTGGGAAAGTGCTGATTGTGCCTGAATAAGTCGGGATACCGAAACCGCATTCTCCCTCTCCCGACAAAACATCGCCAGCCTCAAGCTCATCCGCGCCATCTTGCGCGGCCCCTGACAGCAGAGCCGGTTTGGTTGCAACTCATGCCCCTTGGGCAACGACAGTATGTGCTGTATTGGTACATTGCGGAGACGCTCCCGCCAGATGTCGAAGCATCGTTGACTACTCAGGCGGGTGACGCGTACAAGCCTCCACCACCATATCCGAGTGACTTGACGTTGAGGCAAAGAATCCAACTAGAGCCTGAAGGATATGAGCCGGTCCATCATACGGGCACGGGCGTAGACGAGATGGAGTTGGAGTTTGTAAGTCACCTGGTGTCTGTGGAAGAGGCGGTGCAGAAGTTGGGAAAAGGGGGGGTTATGGCGGATGTTGTGTTGAAAGGGTGGAAAGGCATCCAGGATCGCTTTGCTATGGAGGATGCTGCGACGACCGAGAGTCCTGAGCAGACGGTTTGATGGAAGGAGGTTTACTCAGTATTGTCAGCACAGTATACGACCGTTGCGAAAAGGGGCATATCGTGCTCCGGTATGATCTTGTGCCATCTTGGTACAAGCGCTGAAGCAGTCCCAGAACCCCTTTAGGAGAACATAGTCACCCCAGTCTCTTGACCATCGCAGAAACAACCCAAACCTCCAACCTCAAAAGCAAGAATTTGTCCCTGACCACCATACCCAACCCATCCATACCGCAACTGCACAAAGTCACCACCACAATCCTTCACTCATGCAGCCATACCAACTCCTCACACCTGACTCCCCCATAAATCATATTCAATACTCCCTTCCGCCCAAGATATTGCTCGCTTCCCCAACTCGCAGCTCGCCGCCCAAACCCTCCGCCTCACCAGCGCCCATGTACCTTTATGTACCTCCTCCGCGACCCCAGCAACATGTAAGGCTGGTCAGAGCGCAGCCGGACCTGTATCCCCATGCGTGCACCGCTAGGTATCAAGACTGCGCACTCATCTACTTAGACAGCCAAAACAATACACACTCCATCCTTCGCTGCTTCACAGCCACGAGAGCAATGCAGACTAGCACGCATCACACCGTATTCCAAATACGATATTGCAGTTAGCTTTCTCACGCACGCCCAATTTGCTCACCAGCTCAATCTGGCTGCTGTATCTTGGTAGGCTAGCCTCCCACACAGCAACGTGACGCCGTTGCCCACTAGACTAAACGGCCGTGCAGTGCATGAATTTATTATGGCCATAGTACATTTTGCACGTGTTCTCGCTACCACACTTTTGTCAGACAAATTGCGCTGCACTACCGGCGAGGCAATTGGAAGTGTAATGTAGCAAGCGAGTTTGCACGGTGGCACGGCTGGCTCGTAATCAATCTATGCGCTTCCCCACAGCTTCCCTTGCCTGCCAGCACCAGCAAAGTGCACTGCCCCAGTACCCACACACACCCCAGCCAGTCAGTATACTGTCCTCTGGTCCTCTCTCTCTCAAGCGAAGAAAAATAATTAAATGATGCAGCCAACCCCACAGATCAGCACGCACCGCCGTTTCTCGCTACCACTAGGCACAAACCTGTGCTATCTAACGTGTTTCCTGTTTGCTTTGCTGACTTACTGACATGTCAAGTTACATCATACCGGGGCAATGATATATGAGCGGCCCAGCGAGCGTGGGAGGGAAATCCTGCTTTGCAGCGATGCGGCGATAGTGGATAGCATCCCATACTTGGTACGTACTACGTACCCAGTTTTGTTCTGCTTTGCGTGGGTAAATACCAGGGAAGAGTTTGCAGCTCGGCGCAGCTGGGTGTGGAAGTATGGGCTGCAAGAGTTCTCGTTTGGATAGTGAGAGATAGGGATTTTGCGGCTCCGTTTACCCCCGGAGCGCGACTAGCTGCGATACTGCATGGTTCACGGTATCTTCGGATTCCCTCTGCAGTGTAGTAGTGTCGCATAAGCACCGGTGACTACCCATTCTCTCCGCCTTTCCTCCTTCACCCAAGGAGCCTGCTCCGAGCCAATCATCTCGCCGCTTCAGAAAACCGGCTCTCTCTCCTCCAAAACCGAGAGAAGTCACACAGATACTTGCTCGCGGGCCTAGACTACCGGGTGTTCTGGGTAAAAACGGGGACCAGGCAAAGGCGCACACACCACCCCGGCCCAGCAACCGGCGCTGTGATTGATCGCTTGTCTCTTCCCTGTGAGCAGGGGTGTTGTTGCGGTACCACGGCAGGATATTACGAGGAATACATATTAAAAGGCAGGCAGAGACCGGGCCTTTGAAGTAGTACGTACATGGTCATACTGCTGGTTGTCACTGACAAATTCCTGAGTAATTGTCCGATTTTATGGTAGGTAGATATGGGTGCTGCACGCGATCAGATAGATGAGGCGGACCAAGATGATTGTGTGAAAAGAGTCCGGAAGCCAGAACTGGGCGCAGTGGCGCGCAGATTGGGACCGGAGTTGCAGTTTGTTATGACGATCATAGAGCAGATGTGACTGCAATTTGGTGGAGCAATCTTTTCGTTGATTTCGCCGACCTCACGGCGAGAAGCGCGGCCGAAGTGATGGTTTGGATTAGCAAGATTATTCTGCTTGTGCCATTTACCTATACCGGATGATCTAAGACATGGTATCCCCAATCGGTGGCTTTCCGCTCCCTGGCGTGTGCATCCGGCTTGCTCAACGATTGCGCGCAGATACGGGAGGCGCAAAATCTCAACGGCAAAACGGAGGCTCACTACGCTGCAAGCATCGCTTCCTCAGGCAGAATCGAGCTGCAGATGCGAATGGCTTGAAGAAGATTCCACGGACGCAGAAGTGAACCCGAAAACATCGGGTGGCTATCGATGGCTGGAACATGGTCTAGAATCTCTCCCTGATTAGAGTCCATCTTGCATCCTTCCTGGCAGTTACACAAGAAAAGCAACAGCCAGTCGGTTGAGCCGGCGATGTTTGGAATGTGTAGCTTTTTCAAGACCTGGCAAGTTCCGCTTCCGAAGGTAGAACATTTGGATAGATACAAGAATGTTTCTGTTTGATCGAAGGTGAAACCAGCACGGGAGATGATTCTACTCGCATCGATGCCCCTATGGACGTTTCTTTCTACGACCTTTCGGCATAGTAGGCGTTCTATACAGCCAGATCGCAACGGCCACTACCCCAGGCTGAGTTGAGACGGGAGCTGACGGGTCGTGCCGGCTCTAGTCAGCTTTGACTGCGTGATGACGGAAAACTCATGGATAATGGCTTCGAATCAAAGGATGTGTAGCTATCTTCATCGTGGGTCGGCGCGTAGATCCACCGATTATGCATCTTCACTCACAACGGGAAGGGCGTAGTAAGCTTTGTGGGCGTCAACACGTTTCCAGGGTTGATCAAGGTGGTGCAATGCCTCGTGAAGATTATTGGATGCAAGCCACTGCCTTCATTCCTGCTGCGATGCATCAGTGCGTGGTACATGCATGCCTTGCCCGTTTGACGATCTGAAGTTCTTGCATAGATCTGTGCTTTCGGATCTCCTCACACAGCCCGAACCTCCAGCGTACTCGTGGCGGAACGCAATGCTTGTTTTCCCAGGCGCTGGAGAACGCGCGTCGTTCTCAACAGACAAAACACACTCATTCAGTTTTGGCAAAAGGTAGCGACTTCAAAACAACCGAGCGAATGTACGTTTGCGACGAGTGATGGCGATCGTAACCATTCGTCCCGAGATGCTGGTTTCGGAGCGGACATGCTGTTACTCCTCCAGAGTGTTACCTCTCTGCATTGAAGCCTAAGGCATGACGCATTTCATGTGGTGTGGATGCTGTAGTCTCATGTGAAATAGCGGTGGATGACGGTGGTGGATGGATAAAGTTCGCAACTATGTGCGAAGAAGCATTAATTGACAAGAATACTAAGCGAACTTCCGCGTCATCTTGTACAATGTATACTGTATTAGGGCGTCTATTTTTTTTGGGCTCCTCAGATTATGAGAACTGGTACCGCAACGGATAAGGCTGCGCTGACGTGAGTTCTCCTGCAGGAGTTCAACGGTGGAGGCACTAGAGGTTTGTGGCGCCGCGATCGGCGCTGGGATCGAGTCGTGGCGTTTGATAACACGCAATGGGGCCAAAACGTTGTTTAGACTGTTGTTGATTCTAACTCGTCGTGAGACCGGCGACAACCGTGTATGTACACATTAAACAATGAGACCAAAGGAAACTGCTACAACGCCAGGAAAACATCGCCCTGACTCTGAAAAGATTGTAGGTGGTGACATGATATCATTGATACTTAAAGGAGTCGCTCCTAAGCTCTTACCCACCGATGTTTTGTC